GGTCCTCAAGGAGAAAGCTTCCAGGTTAATTCCAGCTGGCTTCCTCCAAGTCATGTGTTTAAAGTGTGTGATGTCTTCAGCAATAGCGTCTTACCTTCAAGTTCTGGGAGTAACTAAAGGCAATGGCAATAGCCTATTGTCTTCCAGACATGAGAGGGAAGTGCACACATGAAATCTCAACAATATGGCTGCCTAAACAAGACCTGCATAATCAGCTGACATGCCACTTTGGATGGGGTATATTTCACAAGGTCCACATGCCTGCTGAGACAGGAGAATCAGTCTTCTCCAGGGACAAACTTCCAGATAGGCAATCCAATCCCAAGTGGTCTGCCTTAAACACATATGTGTGGGAGACAGGCTTGAGCCTAGGGTGAAAGTCTTATTAACAGCCATACAGCAGGCCTGAGGCAACGGCCCGACTACTGGAGCCACAAGGAACACCTTGTGACATTTGCTCCCATTGGCAGATCATGAGACTGATGCCTAGAGCTTGCCACTCCCTAATCACCACCCTTGGAATTCCAAATAGCAACACTTAGATACTGCAACAGTCAGGGTCAAGTGGTTTCCAGGAATACAGGCTCTGTAATCTGAAACCCATTATGCTAATGAGGCATCCTACCCGCTATTCTGTGATAGGACGGTAAGTCTGTTATGCTAATAGGACGCTAAGACTGTTATGCTAATAAGGTATCCTACTTGCTGTACTGTGATAGGACACTAAACTTGTTATGCTAATAAGGTATCCTACTTGCTGTGCTGTGATTGGACCACTACCCCTATATAAGCTTGTGCCTTCCTGCAAAAAAACAGACCCGTGTCACTGAACCTGGTCTCCTGTGTCTGCAAGTGGCTCTGCTGACACAGTCTCCTCACCAGCCCTGGGGTCCGGGGCTGAGTAGAAGTAGCGACGACAGAAGGCGGCACTGGGTGAGCAGAAGAGCAGCCTCAGCGTCGGGTGAGTAGAAAAGCAGCCTCAGCCCAGGGCGAGTGGAGGAGCAGCCTCAATGCCCGTGAGAACAGAGGAGCGTCCACCACTGGCGGTGACCACATATATGAGCAACACTAAATGGACTAAGTAACTTGTGTGTATTTTACACACACACACACGCACATATATACATAGTATATATGTACATGTGTATATACGTAGTAGATATATGTATGTATATATGTATATATATAAAACAATAATTAAAGAAGTCATAAATTTGAGAGAGAATTAGGGAGACATGGTAGAGCTAGAAGGGGGAAAGGGAGGTACAGAAATGATGTAAACAGAGTACTTGTATGAAAGGTACACTTACCTACATGCAGGCAATACATGCATACACATAAAATGAAAATAAATAAAATTTTTAAAAAAGAAATTTTAATTTAAATAAAAGAAAACGTGAAGAACAGCTATGAGGTCTTGATTCCAAATCACCCATACTTACAGAGGCAGTAAGATATCATTCTCAGCTGGGACCTAGCGCTATTGCTTGCTTAGCAAGTATGAAGCCCTGGCTTCATATGATCCCCAGCACCTCAAAAACCAGGTGCAGTATACCGTGCATGCCTATAATCTTAAGACTTGAGAGTAAAAGCAGGAAGATCAGAAGTTTGAGGTCATCTCTGGCTACATGGTAAGTGTGAGGCCAGTCTGGGCAACATGAGACTCCACCTCACACAGAAACACAGCAAACAGAAGAAGACATCCTTTTGACTAAGTCAAACATTCTGGTCTGGGCCTTAAGAAGGTACTTCTGTACCACTTAAAAGAGGTATACAACAAGATGGTAATGAAATCACAATGCAAAAAGCATAAAGATTAAAGTCCAATACATCAATCCTTTGTATCTATGGGTTCTCTATCTATGGATTCAACTAAGTTTTTAAAAATACCACATCTATGCAGGGCGTGTTGGCGCATGCCCTTAATCCCAGCACTTGGGAGGCAGAGGCAGGTAGATCTTTGTGAGTTCAAGGCCAGCCTGGTCTACATAGTGAGTTCCAGGACAGCTGGGGCTACAGAGAGATCCTGTCTCAAAAAAAAAAACAAAAAACAAAAAAAAACCAAAAACCAAAAACAAACAAAAAAACACCACATCAACACTGAATGAACATGTATTCTTTTCCTTCTCACTATTCGGACTGAAGCATAATAAATATTATAGCTCTCATATTATATAAAGTTGATACATGATCAAATAAAGTTTTTAGGAGAATGTACAGGTTACATGTAAATATATAACCATTTTATTTAATCTTTCCATCATTGAAAATTTAGAAGCAATTCCCCATGGATAACTATATTCAGTATTCAGTCATATGGTGAATGTTTCAGTCAAGGCAATTTCTGAATACAAAGGTGGTCTCAGGAGATTATATTGGCTAGTGATATCACAACCTCCTTAGTTTGAATAAATGAGCTCCTTGCAAAATGACAAAATTATCTAACAATGCATTTCTTGAAATACATTCCTATCATTCAGCAACCATCACTAAATTTAAAAATCATGTAAAAGTCATTTTTCAGCTAAATATAAAACAACATGGAATGTTAGATACTGTTTTTAAAAAACTCAGATCAGATGCCGCAGAGCAGAGCCGGCCATAGCCAGGCTTCTCCAGCCAGCCCGCAGCCCAGGAGAAGCAGAGCTAGCCTGAGCTAGCCCAGCCCCACAATGGAGTGCCCACAGCCCCAAAGCATGTCCCAGGACTTGTTTGTGGCCTGGAAGAAGGCCACCAAGGAGATGCACACCCAGGCAGAGAATGCTGAGTTCATGAGGAACTTTCAGAAGGGCCAGGTGACCGGGAAAGGCTTTAAGCTGGTGATGGCCTCCTTGTATCATGTCTACGTGGCCCTCAAAGAGGAGATTGAGCACAACAAGCAGAACCCGGTCTATGGCCCCCCTCTACTTCCCTGAGCAGCTGCACCGCAAGGCTGCCCTGGAGCAGGACATGGCCTTCTGGTATGGGCCCCGCTGGCAGAAGACCATCCCCTACACTTCAGCCACACAGAATTATGCTAGGCACCTCCAGGAGGTGGGGCACAAACATCCTGAGCTGCTGGTAGCCCATGTGTACACCCATTACCTGGGAGATCTCCCTGGGGGCCAGGTCCTGAAGATTGCACAGAAGGCCCTGAACCTGCCCAGCTCTGGTGAGGGCCTGGCCTTCTTCACCTTCCCCAAGATCGAAAGCCCCAACAAGCTCAAGCAGCTCTACCGTGCATGCATGAACACTCTGGAAATGACACCAGAGGTCAAGCACAGGGTGATAGAGGAGTCTAAGACCGTGTTTCTGCTCCAAATCAAGTTTGAGGAGCTGCAGAGGCTGCTGACAAAGGAACACCAGGACCAGAGCCCTTCACAGATGGAGGGGCTTCGCCAGACAGCCGGCAGCAAGGTGCAAGACCCCACCCCTGCAGAGACACCCAGAGGGAAACTCCAGCTCAGCCCTAACCTGTCCCAAGCAATGCTCCTCCGATGGGTCCTCACTCTCAGCTTTCTGGTGGCAACAGTGGCTGTGGGGATTTATGCCATGTGAATGCAAATGTGCTGACCCCCAGGGGCGTGAACTGTGTCCAATGAAGGGCCTTTTCTCTGGAGAGGGGACTTCACCTCTCTTCTCATGGGCCATGAAGTTTTGGAGACTCCTATCCTCCCTCTATGTCCTTCTCTCTCTGGAAATGGAAAGAGATGTTTGGTGCATGCTCCCTCCACTGAAAGCACGTCCAGCCAGTGGCATGAACTTTCAAACCAGCAGCTCCAATTCCTTCAGCAGAGCCCAGAAGCCATGGCCAGCATCAGCTGCTGTCCTGAGCCCAGTGCCCTTGGTTGGCAGCATCCAGGGTCATGGCCTCTTTTATAATGTGCAGAGATGTTCTGTATTGTGTTTCTGTCTTATTTTTGTTGTTACCCAGTTCCACCCTAATGATGGTATTTTGTTGTGTTCTGTTTTTTTCTACAGGGTTGGGGTGTCTTTTGAGGGGGTGGGGTGGGAGGTGTTTAACAGGACTTGTAGCCTTGGTTTCTAACTTCAGTGTGAAATAATAAATGGCATCATCTGACAGTCAAAAAAAGAAAAAAAAAACAAACAACAACTCAGATCAAGCTATAGAGTTGTTTAACCCTCTGCTGCCTTCTCTGGAAGGTCTAGTCACAAACAAGCACTATTGACTATTAGTACATTTATCCGAGAAATGAATTAGATTCCTGACTGATTCTGAAATCACTTAAAACATACCCTCATTTTGAAAAATTTTTTTAATTTGATATAAACATTGGGTCAAGACTTACCTATAAGATTTTCCCATAAACTTGACTCTATTTCTGATATTGTACATTTAATCATCTAAACTATAGGGCATGACAAACATTCCCAAACAGTGTATAAGCATTCACGGTGGCTTCTATGACCTTGAGTCTAGGAAAGTAGCTGGGCATGGTAGTGCACACCTTTAATCCCAGCACTTGGGAGGCAGGTGGATGTCTGTGAGTTCAAGGCCAGCTTGGTCTACATAGTGAGCTCCAGGTCAGCTGGGGCTACAGGGAGACCCTGTCTCAAAAAGATCCCCCTGCCCCCTGCTAAAAAAAACTACCTATTTCTGAATAACTTCTAAACCTGCCATACTTTGTGAAGCTTCAAACAGAACATGCCTGTTGGAAATCATGGTCCCAAATACTATATTTAAAGAGGGGAGAGAAAAGATGAAAATGAGTAAGAAATAAGCAAAAGTAAATAATGATTAAAGCTGAGGGAATTTAAAATTTTACTAAAATAATGTGAAGCTTCCAGAAACAGGTGAAGAAAGAAAGAAAGAAAGAAAGAAAGAAAGAAAGAAAGCAAGCAAGCCATACTTCCAACTTACCACGTATACTGGCACTTTTCCTTATCTGACAGTTTGATTAAAACTTACACAGAGCTAAGGGGTTTATGCTAAAGACAAGTGCTGTTCATATCTACAACTCTATAGCAATTACTTTTCCAATGGCATTAACTGTACTTACATCAATATCCTCCTGGGTAAAAGTTTCTGGATCTTCTCCCATCATGTTGGCTAAATGTCTCTTCCCTATGTTGAACTCTTCAATCTGCTTTTTAATAAAATCCTCTGTATAGACTTCATGTCTGGAGGCTGGGACATTTTTCTTTGTTGTTACAGCTGTGGTATGTATTAATTTTAATAGCTGACAGAAAATAGAAAAGAAAATATCTGAAATTAGAGAATTAACAGGCCCACTGTCTCCAAATAAAACAGAATATTCTCACTCTCAACAACAGGCACCCAGAAACAAAGGAAAAAGGCCTTTTAACAAAGGTGTTAGAAACGAATCTCTGCTAAAAGCTTCATAACAAAGTGTGCTAAACCACTAGCATTTTAACATATTAGAACCGAAAACACCTGTAAGCAGGATAGTATGTCTGTTTATTGGAAACATCACATTTGGGATTGGTTGGTTAGTAACCAAGCCTGCCATGGTTAAGAAAAAGCAATTTAAAATTCCATGAAACCTGCTTATTTTTCCTTATGAGAACACAGCTATACTTTTTTAAAAAATTGCTCAGCCATCACATTCTCAAACAATGCTTTGTAAAGAGCATAATCAATGAGTAAAACCATGATCACAGCTTGCTTAAGTACACAGTATATTCTCTTGTCTAGTTTCTTCCTCTTTTCAGTTAATTGTGGGGTGAAGTATGAGTAAAACACAGTATTTTGAGATGGAGAGAGACTACATCTATCCAACTTCCATTAGAGCACACTGCTAGAATAACTATTGTATTTTACTATTAGTTACAGTTAAGGTCTTATTGTGCCTTAACCATAATTCGTATGTTAACCTTACTGTTATGTATATAATGGAAAAAAGCACAGCATATATGGAGTTGGTTACTGGCCGCAGTTTCGAGCATCCACTGAAGTCAGAATGCATTCCCTGTGGTCAAGGACCTAAAAGAGCCAGCCTGTTAGAGACAAAGCCTATTTTCACACCCCTGCCCAAAGCCTAGTGTTACCAACTCTCTAACCTAGCAGTTTTATCACCTATTTAAGTATTTACCATCCTTAAAGCTGGTTTTTGTTTTTTTATGATCCCATCTCTAATTTCAACAATGGAGAATATTGCTTCCAAGTCAGAGCAAAGAGAAAAAGCTTTTCTGTACTAAATATCCAGGCAGAGTCATGAATTTGAGACCAAAGTATAGTCATACAGTAGAGGTTATTCTCCCAAATGTTTATTGCCAAAAGGATGATTACACTGCAGTATCTGTACATAAAAAGTTTTGCCCACAGCTAGGACAATGCACCCAAAATGCAGCTGATCCCATAGTCCAAACAAAATCCAGAAGGTTGCCAAGTGTGGTGATGTATGCCTTTAATTTCAGCACTTGGAAGGCAGAGGCAGACGGATCTCTGTGAGTTTGAGACCAGCCTGAGCTATACAATGGTTCCAGGCCAACCAGAACTACAAGGTTGAGATCCTGTCTTAAAAAAACCCCTCAAATCCAACAGATATTCTTCTAGGCTACTGCCTCTGTCCTTCCCACCTGTGGCCTGGATGTTCCTCTGAACCTGTGATGACCAGCCATGGCCCCACCTCCTTCCCACACTGCAAAACAGCCACTCCCCTTCCCTCTTCCAGCCAATCGGTTGACCATAGCTGCTTGCAGGGGCAGGGCTAAGGGTATAAAAGCTGGGAACCACAGGATTTATGTCTGGGTGTGGACTTTGGAACACAGCCATGAATGAGGGGGGGGGCACGGGGCGGCGGCACCCGCTTGTCTGTAAGTAAACCTGCACCCCAAGCTCAGTTAGCAAGTCCAATAAACTCATTAAGATTCTTCAAACCGGGGTTTGGAGAATTTTTTTTCTCAGGCTGTCTCAAGGACCATGGGAGGAGGGGATTGGATGCTACGTGAAACTCCCAGCAGTGAATTTGACTTACACCACCTATCACCATACACAGGCATCAGGGATTCCAACCTCCAGGTGAACAGGCATCCATTCTCTGCAATAAGGGAATCTAAAGGAAGGACAAGATCTGGGAGGAAAGTGACAGCCCAACTGGAGGAAAGTTGAAGTGGAGATTTCTAATGAACACCCAGCAGGCAAGTGGTTTTGTCGACATGCACAGGAGAGATCTGAGGAGAGTTATGTGTCTGTTAAAATCCACATAACACCTTGGCTTCCCTGGGCAGCTCAGCCACCAGCTTCCTAGTGCTAGGATCTTTCCTGGGTGGGTCCCATGGCACCCACTGCAGCGTAACTCCTCCAGCCTCATTCACCCTCCCAGCTCCCCCTTGCCCCTCTCTCCTCCTAGCCTGGGTATGTTGGGAGCTATTAATGTGTTTTGCACACCAGTACCTAATCTGCCAAATCAGGAGGAATGTGTTTATATGGTAGAGCCCACAAAACAAGTATTTGACCGCTCCTTGACCCTCAGATACAGGTGGGAAAAACTGCTGTTGTAACTAATTGAGTTCTTCTGTATAAAAAGGCAGAGCTGAAATAAACCGGGGCTGCAGTCTCTACTGACAGCCCTCCCAAGTATCTTTTCTCTTGTTTTTTCTTTCAATCCTCACTCCCCCTTTCAGGTACTCTCCATCTTGGCCGGATGGCACCGGCAAGGGTACTGGCCCATTTCTTGCCTTCACACCCCAGACCCCTGGGCTGACCTCTTGGCCCAGAGTCTCCACTGCTTCCTGATCCTTTGTATCCAGACCAACCCAGTTCCTCCCAGTAGTCCCCAGGAGCCCTCAAGGCCTCTTCCTACCCACACCTCCCTTTGCATCCCTGGGTGGGACAGCCACTAGCTTCCTGGGACCAGCATCTTTCCTGGGCCTTGCTCCCAGGCCAGCCCAGCCCCCAAATTCCTGAGGTCAGCATCTTTCCTGGAGGGATCCAGACCTAGGAGAAAGCCTGAGAGCATATGAGCCTCATCAGACTAGGGCCTCTGTGGGAATTCTTGAAGAAAAAGCAATTTGGCCACTCCAACATAAAATCAAGAGAGAAACTGAAGCCTAGACCAACCAGCTTTTCATGCCCAACAAGTAAACCACAAAATCACGTAAAGTTGACAAAAAGAAGCAGACCTAAACTAAACAAAGGAAGGCCTGAGTCTCACACAAGAATCAGAAACTATAAAAGAAATCCACACGTCAAAGTCACAGAGAAAAAATGGTAGCACGGAAAACCAAAATAATATATCCCCACCAAGTACCAACAGTTCTCTAGAGGAGTACAATGAGAACCCCTAGAGATAACACAGTATATGAAACTCAGAAGAACAATTATAAACATGATAAAAGGATTCAGTGAATTTAAAAAACACACAAAGAAATCAAAGAACCAAAAGAAGATAGGGATAAACTTCTGAATGAATTCAGTAAAGAGTTAGAAATATCGAATACAGAAGCTGAAATGAAGAAGGAAATGAAACACTCAGTAAGCCAATTAGAAACGATAGGAGAAAGCCTCACCAACAGGATAAATGAAATAGAAAACAGAATATCAAGACTGGAAGGTGAGGTAGAAGAATTAGACAACTCAAGCAAAAATTATGAAAAATTTAAGAAAACAAAAGTATGGAATATGCAGGAATTGTGACACCATAAAAAGACCAAACTTACGAATCATAGGCATACAGAAGGAGAAAAATCTCAAGATAATTGTATGGACCAGATCTTCAACAAGATTATAGAAGAAAATTTCCGCAAATTAAAGAAAGACATTCCCATACAAATACAAGAAGCATATAGAACACCGAATACACAGGACCAGAAGAGAAACTCTCATCAGCACATCATAGTAAAAACACTAAACATACAGAACAAAGAGAGAATACTGAAAGCTGCAAAAGAAAAACAAGCCACATATAAAGGAAAACCAGCCAGGATTGCAGCTGACTTTTCAGTGCAAAATATGAAAGCCAGAAGAGTCTGGACCAAAGTATTCCCAGTTCTAAATGACCACAGATGCCAACCCAGATTACTTTACCCAAATAAAATGTCTATTATAGTCGAAGAAAGGAACGACTATACTCAAGGGGTTGTGGAAAGAAACTCAATGAATGTATAACAGTGGAAATGTACAGCTATACCAAGAATGTGAACAGAAATATAAATATGACAGGATTCAATACATACCTTTCATTAATAACTTTAAATATCAATGGACTGAAATCCCCAGTCAAAAGACAGAGACTAGGTAAATGGATTAAGAAATAAAACCCATCTTTTTGTTGTCTGCAAGAAACTCATCTCACTTTCAAGGAGACGCACGACCTTAATGTGAAAGGATGGAAAAAAATATACCAAGCGAATGGTACTAAGAAAAAAAGCAGACATTGCAAATCTAATATCTGATAAAATAGACTTTAAACTAAAACTAATTAGAAGAGACAAAGAGGGCCACTTCATTCAGCTCAAAGGAACAACAGATCAAGAAGATATTACAATCATGAACATATATTCACAAAACTCTAGTGTACCCAACATCATAAAAACAGTATTATAGGACTTTAAGACCCAGATTAATCCCAACTCATTAATAGTAGGGGACTTTAATACCACATTGTCTCCATTAGATAGGTCAACAGGACAGAGAATTAACAGAGAGACATCTGAGTTAAACAATGCCATATATCAAATGGACCTAACAAACATCTACTGAATATTCCATCCAAGCACCAAAGAATATACTTCCTATTCAGTGCCCCATGGAACAGTCTCCAAAACCAACCTCATACGGGGGCAAAAAACATGCCACAACAAATACAAAAAGATTGAAATAATGCCATGCATTTTATCAGACCACAATGCACTAAAGCTTAAAATCAGCACTGGAAGATACCCTAGTAACTACATGAGCATGAAGGATATTAAACAACACACTCCTCAATGATGAATGGGTCAAAGGAGAAAGAAATTAAGGAAGAAATAAAAGTGTTCCTGAAACTAAATGAAAAGCACAATACAACACAACAAAACCTCTGGGGCACACTGAAAGCAGTCCTTAGAGGGAAATTTATAGTTCTAAGTGCCTACATTAAAAATTCAGAAAGAACACAAACAAATGACTTAACTTTGCAACTTAAGACACTTGAAAAGAAACAACAGAAGAAAACCCAAACCCTGCAGACAAGAAGAAATAACAAAAATAAGAGCAGAAATAAATGAAATAGAAACA